GATTTTGAAGGGACACGTGGGTGTAGTTAGTACATCAGAGGTTCCCAAGAAGACCCTGGGTCCCCTCAGAAGTGCTGGGAGGCAGGGTGCTGACTCCTAGCTGTCTCCACTCTGCCCTGAGCCGGTTCCTTTCTTGTCCAGCCCAGGCCTCTATTAGCGAAAGTTCTCATTGCTCTCTCTTAGTTTTATAAGCTGTTTCCTAAACCATACAGGAAAGACTTCCTTTTCCACCTGGAGCTCTGAAAAAGAGCATGGTTTCTTCTTCTCAGGGAACTCATGGAAGGGAGGCAGCCTCTGGAACACCCATCACCAGATCTGCTCTTACTTTCTGTTTTCTCCAGGAGGGCACAGGACAGATCTTATGTCCTGAAGGGATCCAGAGGCCACCTATTAAAGGGACATCACTGTCCTCAGCCTGCTTTAAAGCTGGAGGCAAACTGATGAGTATCAGCCTGTGTCCAGGAGACGAGGGCTGGAAGGGAATCCTGCTGAGGAAGGAAAGTGGTGCCCCATGAGAAACGAGGTCCCACACCACAGACACCTTCGTAGGATTCTCCTAAGAGAATGGGAAGAATCGTGCCTCACTAGTTACCGTGCTTTTCATCATAAAGGTTTAATCAGCCTGACCCAGATGTCTCTTCTCCAAGAAATGCTTTGCCATTTCTTAAGGCCCGGTCAAAAGACCAGAATACCTCTGGCCTTGAGTGGCAACAGGACAATCTGGCCTGCCCCAAAAGATTAGACTATTTCATACTGAGAAGAGACAACCCATCTGGACCTGTCAGTCACTTGCCCAAGAGACCACCCCTCTGTAAGGCTGTTTCACCTAAAACTATGCTAAAGATTTGGGAGGAATAACTAACTGTCCCTTTAAGAAGATGATATGCTTTTCCCTCCCAGAAACACCCCTTCTGTGAAGTTGCTTATAGGGCTGTTACTGCAAAGCTTTATCAAGCCTGCCTGCTTTGTGAAATTACTCAGATAAGCTTAGCTTTTCCTTTTTTTTTTTTTAATCTCTTTTTCTTACTTTTGGATCTAGGCTGGAGCCTGGGCCTGCGGTCTCTGGTGCTCTGAGCTTTCTCACTTTTTCTTTGAAGCCATATCCTCCACTTACCATGTGACTGCGTGTCTGCCACCTGACTGCAGCCACCATGCCTAACCAAATAGGCCTGTTCTCTCTTCCTATACTTCCTCTTCCTCCCTCTCATCCATGCATCTGGCAAGATTTAAAACCTTCTTTCTTTCTTCCTTTCTTTATTTTCTTTACTTAAATGCTAATAAAACTATCCCCAAGCTGCTATCTGAGCTAATTTTTAAAATTATTTTATCATTAGGGCCAAGGATACGAAGAGGGGGCTGGAGAAATGGCTCAGCAGTTAAGAGCGCTTACTGCTCTTCCAGAGGTCCAGAGTTCAATTCCCAGCAACCACATGGTGGCTCACAGCCATCTGTAATGGGATCTTATGCCCTCTTCTGGTGTGTCTCAAGACAACTACAATGTGCTCACATATATAAAATAAATAAATACAAAAAAATTAAGCAAATTAGCAATGAAATAATTAAAAAAAAAAGAATAGGAAGATGATGACCCCAAATTCCCTGGTGACATCCGCATTGCAGCAGACCACCCCAAGGCAGGTCTCAGGCAGTACTGGGGGAGATGAGACTCCGATCTGTAGCAGCCCACACCCCTGGGAAGTGAGATTGATAACATCAGTTCTGCCAGAGCCCAGGTCTCATCGGCATCCTGACTATAAGCGCGATGCCCAGAAGCACATGGGACCCTGAGGTGAACACATGCGTAGGGCTGCTTGTATCCACGCTCCTCCCAATCCTTTAGGGGGTAGGAACAAAAACCTCAGGGAACCCAGGGGTTGTCTAGCAGGGTAACAGGACATGCTGCAAACCCTTGAGGAGACAGGCCTTCCCACTGCTGATGACTGACAGATGCCTCTCCAGCCTCTTCAGCTCTATCCATCGCTCCTTGAGCTTCCTATGCCCATGTCTGGAGATGAGAGAGAATCTGGGAGCACTGGTTTAACCTACGCCATGGAGTTGGTTGCCATGCAGCCAATAGACAGGCTGCTGTGCTCATGTGTGAACCTTTGATGTAATATCCCACGACTGGGGCACATACCTGCGTGGAGAGGTGCTGAGTGATCCTCTTTGAATGACTGTGGCCACACAGTCCTTCCAGGAAAGTCTGCTGTGGTCATGGTGGGAATTAACATGGGGTTCCTTAAGGATAATGCAAACTAAATTCAAGGAGTCTGGGATCCCAGGGATCAGAGGCACCCGGTCCCCTTCCCTACCCAGCCTCCATCGGAGTTAGTGATGCCAGTCCACCATGGGATCTCATGAACCTGTCATGATCAGAGAAACCACTTCCTCATAGCCCACTGAGGTGTGAGCAAGGCCAGTTGGTGAGTCAGAGCAGGACCTGACTAATGCTCCAAATCCTGATCTTTTCAATATATCAGTTGTCAAGAAGAGAATGGAAGAAGGAAAGGTGGCCACAAGGCTGCTTGGGTTTTCAGCATGGAGTTTTCCCCACTGCCTGTTAGTGGCGTCCACTACAAGGCAGGGAAGGGGCTTTAGTGAAAGTAGGGAAGCCCAAAGCACTAGAGAAAGCACATGGGTTCTGGCCAGCATCGGAGGAAAAGAGGCAGAGAAAAGTGAAAAGTTGCCCCCTTAGCCTAGGGAAAGACGAGCCACAGATACCTTGTAGGTTCATACAATGGCTATTTATTTTCACCTTATTACAAAATAAGTCTTCGTACCAAAAGAAATCCTGAACCTTGCAAGTTTAGTGAAAACAATTTGAAATGAAGATTCCAAGCAGTTGATTGTAAGTAGAATTAAAATGAAGAATCCCCAAAAAACAGTCATACCATATTTTATATGTTACAAGGCTTACTGATCTGAGTACTTCAATCAAGCCTCTCAGCTGCCCTCAGGAGTCAGTTTTATGAGCATAAAACTGAGGCTCTGGGTGACCAACATTCTAGGCTGGAGCTGAAACCCATATATGTCAAAGCCACAGTCTCCTCAAGTTCTCAGGGAGTCCAAGGTCGTTCCCTACCATGCAAGAGAAGTGAGCCTTTAACATCCCTGGGCATAGCTGATTGAAGATGTTCAAATGTGCTTACCTAAGACCTGGGCCCATGAAACAACAGAAAATTGATTTCAGAGGGGCTTTGAAAGGTAGCTGTTAACATGTGATGGTCACTGGGTTTATAGAACCATTTCTTAGATTGCTCAAGAAATTGGACTATTTCTGAACAACCTGAGTCCCCATGCAAGGAAAGATGGTTCTCTGGGATATCAAGGTGGCTCAAGGAGATTGCGGATGTTTCCAGAGACACCCTGAGGCCTCAGCTCTCCCCTGTGAAGCATGGCCTGTTTCAAGGCAGTGCCTTGCACTGAAAGGTTACAATGACACTGTCTGGGGAAGTGAAGGCAAAGATCAGGCCTGAACTGGTGAAGTTGTTCCCAGATGTCCCTTGGATGGCAGGCGTGGATACACTAGCCCACCCCTTTGGTCCTGCGTTCATTTTTGGTCCTCTTGCTGTCTCGCCCTCACCAACATCTTTTCTTCACGGTACTTCGAAGCAAATGCTTCATTGCAAAGAAAAGTCATCAAAACATGAATGCCAGTTTTGTATTAGTTACTCCTCTCAGTGTTATGATAAAATAAACTTAAGGGTGGAGTGGTTTATTTTGGCTCACAGTTTGAGGGTTCAGTTCAAGAAAAGCATGAGGGCAGGAGTGAGAGGCAGCTGGCCATACTCTTTATCTGTAGTCAGGATGCAGATAGTGACGAATTATTGGTGCTCAACTTAAATTCCCTTTTATTCAGTCCAGAACGCCAGGCTGTGGAATGATGCTGGCCACATTCAGGTAGATCTTCTTGCTCAGTTAAATCTCTCTGGAGGTGTGTCTCCTTGGTGATTCTCAATCCCATGAAGTAGACAGTGAAGGTTAACCATCCAGGACTTCAGCATCCTACAGGTTAATGTGTGCTTGTGATTTGGAACTTAGTTGACGCCCAAGGACAAATAGTGTCCAGAGTTGAAGTGAAGAGACTGCGAGTGACCACTAGAGTTATTTTTAAATGTCAACAATTTGGATTGCAGGCCACGGAGAAGGTTTAGATTTCTTTGTTGACTTTGTGACTATGGATAACAAGTACCTCAGAGCAGCTGCCTGATCGGACCAGTGGGATGGGAAGAAGGGGGAAGAACTGGGTAAGGAGGGGGATCGATATCTCTAGTGTCTACTAAGTGGAAATCGCTTCCTTTATTCCTTTTGTAATTTTTTCAATAGCTAAACGAAGCACAGAATATTCTTCTGTCTTTTATAAAACCCCAAACAGGCTTGGGGAGGGCAGGTGAGCTCATCAGAATTCTCAGAAGTCCTCCGCGGTGTGTGTGACTAGGGAGTGCATATCCCATTCTCAGTTGTATGACAGGACTCAGCCATGTGCTTTCTTGTGTTGGGGATGTGAGCTTTATCCTGAGCTATTCAAATGGCTTCTTTCACGTGTCTTCTGTTAAGGTTAATGCATGTCCTAACTTGTACCAAGTTGGCCTTGGTCAATGCACCCAAAAAAAGCCAACTCCCAAAGCTCTACAATTATTTTTTTAATGATAACAGTTGAAGCAGGTAGAGGAGAAGGCAGGACACTCAGGAGCCACGGCATTTCCCAAAGCCAGACTTCTCTAGATTCAGAAATAGGACATACGGGGCTCATCTGGATGCACAAGCAACTCACCCAGGTTGCATTGCTGATTACACTGCGAGGTCTGAGACTGAATGAACCTGACTGCAGCCATCCCCTAAAGAGGCAAGGCAACCAGATGGGTCCTGGATCCATTCATGAAACTGACGTGGAATGAGAGGCAGCTGGCTCGTCACCTCTCCATCCATGGACCCTGAGCACAAATCCCAGGTTTTCAGCCCTGTTCCAGCTCTGGGTCTGCTCCCTGATGCAGTGACCATCATTCTAGGCTCAGTCTGGGTATGAGCCACCAAAGTCCTCTTCTTCTCTCTATTTCTTCAGGAGGACGGTAGGTGTCCGGCAGGGGCTCCTCGCTTCCCGAGACAGTCTTCACATATATGTGACCTTCTTGGGTGCCTCGTGGGTTCATTTCATGGGTGGGTGAGCGCCTAGGATTCTTGAGAACACAAACAGACTTTTAAAATGATACAGCAAAGACTCCAGCTTCTGGCTAAGATGAACTCAAACAGCCGTACTGATCCTCGAATGGAAACAGCAAAACTCAGACCAAACATTTGAAACAATGGTTGGCAAGACAGTGGGACTCGGGAGGGTAAAGACACTGAATCTTTTTTTTTTTTTTTAAACTTTATTTATTTATTTATTATAAGTACACTGTAGCTGTCTTCAGACACCCCACAAGAGGGCATCAGATCTCATTGCAGATGGTTGTGAGCCACCATGTGGTTGCTGGGATTTGAACTCATGACCTCTGGAAGAACAGTCAGTGCTCTTAACCACTGAGCCATCTCACCAGCCCAAGACACTGAATCTTGAGGGGCAGGAACTGAGTGACTTTGACAGTTGCCTGAGCTTATTGTCTTCAAGGGGTTTTCAGGCCATGCAATTATTGCAATTGACAGTTGCCTGAGTTTGTTGTCTTCAGGCCATGCAATTATTGCAATTATCTCTCTGGCTAATTGCTGTTGGCAGACTGTCTTCATCTCTTAACTTTTAATCTATTCGAGTATTACATTCAGAAAGTGTTGTTCCCCAGGTTTTTATAAAGTTGGGTATTGCTTCTATAGCCAACCAGACTCTCTATGCTTTGTAAGTGAAGCTACTTTGGCTGTTTATATCCAATGTGATCACTGATCTGGGTGGATTCAAGCCAACTCTCTTGCTTCTCTTTTGTGCTTATCCTACTTGCTCGCCTCTTATTGTTCTTCTCATGCCTTGTTCCCTATAAACTTTAGAACCTTACTACGTTTATTGAAAATGTGTTGGGATTTATATCACAAATATATTCATTTTAATTTAAAATTCTCTATGTGTATGAATGTTTTGCCTAAATGTACATGCCTGGTATCTAAGGAGATCAGAAGACTGCAGCTATCCTAAAATTAGAATAATAGGCCATTGTGAGCTGTTATGTGTGTGCTGGGAACTAAATCCAGGTCTTCTAAAAAAGCAGGAAGTGCTTTTGACTGCTGAGACTTTTCTCTAGCTCTACAATTACAAACAGTACCAGGAATTTGTGGTGGCTGACAACTTTGTGCTGTTGAGTCTTTCTATCCAAAACCACAGTATATAACCATCATAACTTAGCTATTGTTGAATGTCTTCTACTAAGTTTTATTATTTCCATGACAGGATTAGACATTTGGTCAGATTTATTCTTTAGCATTCCATGTATCTTATTACCGCTGTAAAATAGGATTTTATAAATTTCCTTTTTCTAACTGGTAGCTATTAATATTAAGAAATACATATCACTTTTGATTTTTTTTTCAGTGCTGGAAATCAAACCTAGGCCTTTGCTCATACAAAGTGGGTACTATACCTCAAAGCTAAAAATCTCATGTACTGTTTTTATACACAATATACTGTTTATATACAATAAACATATTTGACTATTTTTCTAAGTCCAATAATTTATCTCTAGATTATTAAGTTTTTCTATGTTGACAGCCACATATCACCTACAAATTATGTTAATTTTACTTCTTCCTTTTCAATGTTATATTTGTTTTATATATATTTATATTTGTTTATATATGAGGATATATATATGTATATGTATATGTATATGTATATGTATATGTATATGTATAT